GGTTTTCCAAGAATTATCTAGTTGCATTGGCCCTGTGGGAAAGTTCTTTGCTATGCATGGAAATGTCTACTTAAATGACACCATGACGAAAATAAGCGTAAGAAAAGGTTTTGTGCTCGACATGAAACCATGAGCTCCTAAACAGAAACAATTTTTTGTTTGCTTTCATAGAGGCTTTACGGCACTCGCAACTGCATAAGGTCATACGAGCGCCAAGGGGTGGATGTCAACAGAGAAGTTCTTACAGGGAATCAGGCTTACTCTGCTCACCTCTCTCGCTTCAACGGCACAAAGTCGGCTTCGACTATCAAGGCACCCCGGAAATAGCGGGTCACAAGAGTGTGACAAACATACAGAGGTAGAGGCAAAATGACGATAGTAAGGACTAGGAAAGAAAAAGCAGCAGTTCCCTGTTGCAGGTCAGGCACAGTTATGAGCATGACATCGATGAAGCTCCCTATTTACAAATACAAATCTACTGCGCATAAGAACTCGAGATTTTAATGTCCCCCTCTTCGGGAAAGCCTAAAGACACTTCAGTCAGTAGCACCGCCCCGGGGGTGACAGAAACAAATTAGTACTGATGAGAACATGAAATGTTAAGTCCCAGTTTTGTGTGGTATTTGTAACTACACTGTTATCCAATCTGTTTTGAAAATATCACCAGAAAATGTTCATTGCAGAGACAAAAGTATTCTCTTTTGATTTGATATTCAATACACGTCCAAAACATCAGTGTTGATGCACTTCAGTACACGCACGAAGACAATTTTGCGATTCTCTGATTTCGCACAATTAATTTTGCTAAGTCTGATTTTTTAAGATCAATTTAGCGTGACCATATCTGGAGTGTCTGTTAACCCTTCCAGCCCCAGCCAGTTTTGTGCACTCCCTAACCCCAGCCCCAGTCAATACAGCAGTATCTCAGAAGAAGAGGCGTGCATTAAAAACGTGATGTAGTATCTATGTAATGAGGTTTAGATAATAACATTTAACAATTTTTAAAGGCAAATGAACAAATATTATGAAAATCTAAGTTAAATAGGGTTCGCTAATTTCGAAAAATGCTCGAATTCGGGACCCCCTGAATCTAAGAATATACGCTCTTGGGACGGTGGGAGGTACAGGCACTGCTGAAAATATATGCGCTCGGGGCTGGAAGGGTAACATGCTGTCCGCTCTTCAAGTGGTGGCCACATTGAGCACCTATAAAACGTGACATAAAAACTTGTAGGCATGTACAATACATCATGTGTCCGAGCTGGGGTGGGGG